TTAACAAACCCACTTTAATTTATGTGCTGACATTCTAATCTCGTTCACACGTGGATTGATTATACGTTTCAAAAAGTCGTCGAAGAGTTTAGCTGTTTGCTTACAAAAAGGGAACATGTTAACACTGAGCAGCAGCACAAATAGAATCAATATGCCGACATTCAGATTAGAAAGTAAATCATATATATTCATTCTTTTAGTTCGTCAAAAGAATATATTTAGAGGAACAAGTCAATATATAGTGAATGCGGTATGAGTGAAAACGATGAGTCAAAACACATAAATATATATAATAATAATCGGTGAAAGCAAAACCCATTTAAGTTTTTTTTAATAGATAAAAATGACATTTCAAGACTATCAAACTGGAAATTAATGAGATATTAATTAAAAAATCTCAAACTAAATCATACCATTCACTTAGTAGTTAGTCTATCATCAATTTAATAGTTAATCAAATTTTAGAAATATTTAATTTAACTCAGAATTTTAGCCAATAAAAAATTATCAGGATAATTTTATCTCTATTGCTAATATATCCCTTTAAATAAATATGTTGATCGAAATAGGATCTTAATAATTGTAAAAGTGTTAAACAAATCATAAAAAATACAAATTCAGATTAAATCCTAGACTATTTGAGTTGTGAGACATGAGTCTGGCAATTTATTTATTTATAAGCACCAATGTGAAAAATGATGGACCGAAAAACTTCTTTGAATTTTGCATACATATTTGCATAGAAATAGAAATTTTTAAGGCTAGGTAGGTTCCCATGATCAACATGAATCGATAAGTCGGTGGATAGGGACAAATTCAAGCGATGCAAATGAGATTACGTGAAAGTGCAATGCATGAAAGAAAAAAAAAAAACTTTGTAGTATTTAATTTGTTCCATGATGAAAGGGAATGCCATGGAGGCGCATCCATTTTAATTAGTTCACATTAGATTATATTATTAAATCTTAGGTCATATTCATTTGTTTGTTTAACAAAAGGCAAAACTTGTTTTCACGGGTCAGTACAAAAGAAGGAGGCCACATTTGATGATCAGAAACTAAAAGATTGTTTTTGTTTTTTATTTGGTCAAGATTAATTAACGTATTCTTTGTTTTATATTTAGGAGTCATTATATGATTATGAATAATTAAGAAAATTGTCTACAGTTAAAAAATATTATATATTTTATATATTGAGGATAATTTTATAATTATCAATAAGAAAAGTTTCAGAAATTAAATTAAAAAAATATTATTTGTTGTATATTTTTAAAAATGATTTTATAACTGTTAACAAGAATATTGTCAACAGTTCTTAACTGATGACATGAAAAAACATTGTATATATATATAACAAAAATGTTCAAGTAAAATTGCTTACGAAAAAGGAAAAGTTTGTACACTTAACAATAAAGAAGTACATTTAATAATTACCTTAATTATTAAGCTCCTTAGTCCTTAATTTGTATCTGTGCATTTTTCTATTGTTATTTTGAGACCAAGTATTGTTGACCCACAGTTAATTAACAGACGTTTGTTTGAAAAATGTGTTTTGAAAAAATTATTTTAACAATTGATTATAATAGTAGTGAATGTTATAATTGATTATAATTAAAATAGAATTTTGTTTTTACTAGATTTGCTGATAAGCGATATTAAAATTTTCAATTTTGTTTGAATATTAATAAATAAATAAAAAGATGTAATAGATTAATTTAAAAAGAGAAAATTTGTTGAAAAATAATCATAAGTTTTAAATTATATTTTTAAAAATAATTTACTTTTTGAAAAGAAAAAATTATTTACATATTTAAATTATTGTCTCGAACATACAATTTATTTTGTAAATAGTTTTTTCTATACAAAAAGTTAAAATGATTTACAAAAAAAAATCTATTGTTTTTTAAACATGCTCTAAATAACATTGTTTTCTCATGACACGGTTGAGTTAGAACAATTGGATGAAATTTTTTTCATAATGATTTGCAATAATAAATTATTACAAATTCTTAGAATCAATTTAATTAGTTTGGTTTAAATTATTAGGTTTATTACCTTAAAAGTAAATTACACTCGTATTTTATAAATATATATTTTTAATTGTATTTAATATCTATTTATATTTAAACTTACATCAAAATCTCGGTTGAAAAGATATTACATTATTCATGTAATTTTTTTTAAAATTGAACCCAATACTCTTTCAATAATTAAATCTATTCAAATCTCTTAAAAGTTGAAAAAATGTTGTATTTGTACTCTTTATGTTTTTTTAATTTTGTTTTTAATATCATCTATTGCTTGGATCTACATTAGGACTCCTTAAAAGTGGAAAAAATATTACATGAAATTGAGTTGGTTTTATGTTGTAAAGTTTACCCAACTAAACTTTTACATATTATTTATTCCAAAACTTCAGTCAACTCTCCTTAGTTTTGAAATCCAAAAATGTAAACTTTTTTGAAGTTAATTTGTTTAAAAAATTATTAGTTTTAACGAAGAAGGTGTGAGACATTTTTAAAAGGAAAAAATTGTAACGTCTAAAATATACGTATTAATCCTAGTTTTATACGTTTATAGATAGTTATATATATATATATATATATATATATATTTAAATTGAGAACACAATTGAGTAATAAGAGCAAATACATATAAATAACTTAAAAGGATCTTAAAATATTTACTAAGATATGTACATCATTTTAAACTACTCATATATCTTACATTATTATTTTTAACATTTACACACATATTATTCTACACGCATTACCTATTCTATATATATATCTTGTTATTTTACACGACCATTACAATAATATTTACATTGGTGGTGGTGGAAACAAGTTCACAATAGGATTTATATGATTTGCCGGTGGTAAAAAGAAAGTCACGATAATAGGTCCATCTATGGTGGTAGGGTTTTCTTGATCGGGGAAGAAAAAGAACGAAAACAGTGCGATGCCTTGGAATGTGACAAAGTTAGAAGTAACATCTATTCCCCAATTACCCCGGGGAAAACGGCAGTGATCACTCCTGTAAAAGGATCTGGGATAGCTGGGAGATCCATCTTTTTTATATATATTAAAATTTTCACAACAAGAAATAAGGAGTAAGAACACTTGTTAAATAAATATAATTAATTAAATAAATAATAAAATTATTTATCGCAACAAAAATTAAATAATAAAATTTGAATCATTTTAATAGTGACTAGTCAGGATAAATGAGCATTATTGTAATATCAACCCAATATCAACATAATATTTTACCATAAATGTTTACTCATTTAAATCCCCAAGGTCAAACCTCCAGCTATAAATAATTCAAACTTTATCTTCTATGGCCATAGAACAATATTTATCTTCATAAATACGTGAAGAAATAATAACATGAGTTAAAGAGACTTTAACAAAACTATATCATAGTTAATTATAAATATATTTACAATAAATATATTTACGTAAAAAGAATATATTAATAGTACCAATAACATAAATAAAAATGACAATCATTATAAAATAATGAAACAATATAAAATATGAACATGTTAATAATTATTATGGATAAAAATAAGCATAGAATAAGCAAATAAATGAGGTTAGAGACACCTCACTAGATAAATGAATCAAGAAATTAACATAAAATAGTAATAAATAAAATTTAAAGAAACAAAGTTCTCCTCCCCCTTACCTTAAGGTTGTTTATCTTTCTCTTTTTATCTCACTTTTCTCTTTCGCTTTTTCGTTCACTATCTCTTTCTCTTTTTTGTTTTCTTCTTTCTCTCTGGCTGTTATCTTATCTACTGCAAGGTTAATTATTACTGCCTTGTAGATAAGTTTATTCCTTGCATTTATGATCTTCGGATATTCCTTGCATTTATGATCTTCGAATAGAGAATAATTTGCCCCTGACGTGGTGGACGTGGCCATTGACCCGCGTGACTCAATGTTTCCTTGGCTGATTCTTATGCGTGACTCAATGTATGAAAAAGTTATAGGAGTTGACCCAGGGCCCAGTACCCAGAATCCTTAAGCGCAACTAATTCAACCACTGAACCATTTAATTTTATATGTCTATAACCTCATGAAAATTTATAATAAGTTATTTTTTTGTAGATAATATTTATAATATAATTAGTTAGTACACACACATATATATATATATATATATATTTATTTATTTATTTATCTTTCTGAACATAAAATTTTATAAAATAAAACTTATTAAAATATATAAGTTGTAATAGATAATTTTATATATAATCATAATATGATAAATAGTTATAATATTTTTGGATGTCA